GAGGATCGACCAGGTTTACCACCGCGCTCTCAGCCTCGGATACCACAAGGAAGGGCTCCTCCGCGCCCTGAGAGATTAGATGTGAACTCGGCTCGGGATTCCATGGCCAGGAGCTCGATTGATATTCCGTCAAGATCAAGACCGTCTTCCATGATGCGCGCTGAAACCCCCACTACCAATTTCCCCCCGCCACCTCGAAGGGATACTGCCGCCATTGTCGGACGGGCCTCCATGGACGTCCAAAGCACATCTACTCCGCAATTTTCCCGGGCGCCTATGCTTTCAGTGGAATCCCTTTCGTCCTCTCCGGCTCCCAGTCAGCGTCATGGGAGATCCGCTCGTGCTGAGTCAGATGAACCTGACCTTTCCTTCGATGAGGCCCCAGTTCCCCGAACAGACTACCCAGACTTCTCCAATACCAATCGGCGACCACCATGCTTTAGGAGTGGGGCTAGGAAAATCCATACCAAGCACGACACCCGGGTATTTGATGTTTGTGGGAACTATGCGTGCACCACTGGTTACTTTACTCGAGTCTGGGATTTGGTATCTGGCGAGCAAATTCTGGGCTTGAACCATGGTGAGACGGTAAAGGGGCTCTCGATTGCATTCAAACCGGGTAATACTATGAACGATGAGGGGAAACTGCTTTGGCTGGGTACAAATGCCGGGGAGATCCATGAGGTTGATATTCAAACGCAGTCCATCGTTTCGACACGAAATTCGCCGTCGCGGAGGGAAATTATCAAAATTTATCGCCACAAGAAGGAGCTTTGGACGCTTGACGACGACGGGAAATTGCTTTTGTGGCCTCCAGATGAGTCCGGCGCGCCAAACCTGCAGTACAGTTACAGTCATCCATATGACAGAGTTGCCAAAGGGCACACCTTTTCAATGGTGGTGGGTGATCATCTATGGCATGCCACCGGGAAAGAAGTACGGATATATAACCCCAACTCCAAGGATGCTAGTTTCCAGGTCCTCAAGGGTCCATTGGGAAAGTCGAACGCCGGCGAAGTCACATCCGGCACCACGAGCCCAAAGGATGGCGGTCTGGTATATCTTGGCCATGCAGATGGCAAGGTCACTATCTACTCCTCCAAGGATTACACCTGCCTTGCGACCTTGAATGTGAGCGTGTACAAAATTAACTGTCTCGCGATGGTTGGCGATTATCTGTGGGCTGGGTACAAAACTGGCATGATCTATGTCTATGACACTTCCACTACGCCTTGGACGGTGAAGAAGGATTGGCAGGCGCACGATCATGCTGTTTGCGGGTTGGTGCTAGATTCGAGTAGTATATGGACCGTCAATAGGCTGCAGGTTGTCTCGCTTGGCGTGGATAATTATATTCGTCTTTGGGATGCTATGCTGGAGGACGATTGGCTTGGTTTGTCTACCTCTTTTCTAACAACCAAACACATGCTGATTTTCTTTAGAAACGAGAATGCACAGCAGAGACATTGAATACTGTAATTTCCGCGAGCTCACTGCGGCAGTGGTTACGTGGAATGCTGGTGCAACGGTGCCAGGTAACTTACGAGATAGCAAGTTCATTCGAGACGCCATCCATCCTGAAAACCCACCGGAGATTTTGGTTTTCGGATTCCAAGAGCTTGTAGATCTGGAAAATAAAAAGATAACAGCCAGTGAGTAACATTTCTCCCCTCAGCTATTTTGTCGTCATTTTACTCATACATGTCCACAGAGAGCCTCCTCATGGGTAGCAAGAAGAAAGATAGCGCGGACAAAGAACACATGAGCCGACAGTACCGGGTTTGGAAAGACTATCTTGCATCTGTCATTCAAGATATCATGCCCACCGGCCAATCCTATGCTCTCCTCCACACGTCACACCTCATTGGTCTCTTCACATGCGTGTTCGTCAAGCAGTCGGAGCGTCAACGGATCAGGGGCATAAGCGCCGCTGAGGTTAAGCGAGGAATGGGCGGGCTACATGGAAATAAGGTACGTTTATACCAGATTATATGCGTCTATTACAAATTTGCTAATCGATAAAAGGGTGCCCTGGTCCTCCGTTTCATAATTGACGACAGTTCTGTCTGTTTCATAAATTGCCACTTGGCAGCTGGGCAAACTCACACAGCCCATCGGAATAACGACATCGCCGCGATTCTCGAGAGCGAGTCTCTTCCCATCGAAACCAGCTATTCCAATAGAATAGACCTCTTCGTCGGCGGAGGCGACGGCACAATGATTCTCGACCACGAAATATGCATCCTAAACGGCGATCTAAACTACCGCATCGACTCCATGCCGCGCAATACGGTCATCGAAGCGGTCAAGGCACACAACCTTCCCAAACTCCTTGACCGCGACCAGCTCCTCGCTTCTCGCCGGAAAAATCCCGGCTTCAGGCTTCGCTCTTTCAATGAGGCGCCCATCACCTTTGCCCCTACATACAAATACGACGTCGGGACAGACCAGTATGATACAAGCGAGAAGAAACGCTCGCCGGCCTGGTGTGACAGACTCCTTTACCGTGGCGTCGGACGGATAAAGCAACTCGAGTACCGACGGCATGAGGTCAAGGTATCTGACCACCGGCCTGTCAGCGGGCTATTTAAGATGCGAATTAAGTCTGTACATGCCGAGAAACGGAATATTACCTGGGAGTCGTGCCAGCAGGAGTTCGTCAAGGAGAAACGGAGGCTGGCGACGGATGCGAGGTATGTTCTAGAGCTGCTAGGTTTGATTGATACATTTTTAACACTTTGTAGCATCGATTACCTCGTCCGACTTCTCGGCTTGGACCCGAAGGAAGCCAGATCTTTGATTTCTTCGAATGGCGGGGGCTAACTTCACAACTTTGCTCTACTCCGACCTTATCTCCGCGATTCTTCGACGTGGCCAATCCCCTACCCACCCTACCCACGGACTTCACCATCTACATCTCTTGTTTTATTTCAACTCCGGACCGGTTAAAAAGCCCAAAAGCAATAAACCAGCCACCATCTATCTATCTTATCTAGACACATACGTTCATACAACGTTTTTGACGACACCAACGACTTTTACGACACACAAACAACCGCTTTTGATTCATTAATAGATCGCCCATGGGATAATTATTATAAAACAGGCACAGCCAGGGTCTACATTTTGCATTTTCTTTTTCCTTTTTTTCGCTTCCTAGGGCATATGGGGAGGAACCACGAGTACAATAAATACAATACAGTAGAGGGGAGGTTTTCTATATTATTGGCCTTCTTATATACAACCGGCAGTTGTCATGCAATCCGATTGGGAGGTTTCTTTTGCTCGCGTGTTTTCAGGCGGGTGTTGATAATATTGGAGCAGGCTCAAGAGTTAATGCTAATGGAGAGGGCTAGAGCAAGGCAGTGGTGGGGTCTGTCATAGCCTTTGCTTGTAGATAGTCCTCGGATGCCAGTTAGTGGTGATGGCGAAATGCTATCTTATAATAAATAATAGATGGAAATGGGCGCAGCGTCCCGTGGAGTTGCCGGTCTTTAGTCCTGTCCGATATCCGGAATCGGGCCGGGATGCTTGGTTGACCCCACGTTCGGATCGGTAAACTGCCCCTCGCTCGGCAAAGCTAGTTACTTCCCGTCCAAACATCCGCATCCTTTCCTTGTGTTTTGACACCTCGTCCAGCTTCCGCCATAGGTGTATATAGATAACCCTCGACACCCCTTACCGTGTATATACTCCTACACCCACGCTCAACCATGTCTGCCGACAAGCTCCCCGCGCCAACGCGCATCGCCCTCATCGGCTCAGGCACAATCGGTCTCTCCTTCGCCGCACTGCATCTTACGCAGTCACCCGACGTGCAGGTTACCATCTACGACACCAGGCCCGATTTGGAGAAGTATATCGAGGACAATTTGCCCGGTATATACCACACCCACCCCCCTACCCATACCCAACCACCCAACTAACCAACCCCCCCATTCATTCTCCAGGCTACCTCTCAACCCTCTCCCCAACACACACCCTCCCCACCCTCCTCGCCACCTCCCGCCTCTCCATCTCCCCCTCCCTCCCCACGGCCGTCTCCACCGCCGACATAATCCAAGAACAATCCCCCGAATCCCCCCCCCTCAAACAATCCCTCTGGGCCACCATCGAAACCCACGCCCCGCCCCACGCCCTCTTCTGGTCCTCCACCTCCGGCATCCCCGCCTCCACCATGTCCGCTCACATGGCCGACAAATCCCGCCTAATAGTCGTCCACCCCTACAACCCGCCGCACATCATGCCGCTGCTCGAGCTCGTCCCGGGGCCCACCACCCCACCGCCCCTCGTCGACCGCACAATGGCCTACTGGCACGCACTCGGCCGGAAGCCCGTGCTCATCCGGCGGGAAACGACCGGCTTCGTGGCGAACCGGCTCGCGTACGCGCTGCTGCGGGAGGCGGTGCATTTGGTGCGTGAGGGCGTGGTGGGCGTGCGGGAGCTGGATGAGATTGTGGAGAACTCGATGGGCCCGCGGTGGGCGGTCGCGGGGCCGTTTAAGAGTTACCATATGGGTGGTGGGGAGGGTGGGTTGAGGGGGTTTTTTGAGAAGATTGGGGGTACGGTGCAGGGGTGTTGGGGGGATGCGGGGGTGGTGAATGTCGGGGAGGGCGGGTGGGAGGGGCCGTTGTTTGAGGAGGCGGAGAGGGTGTATGGGCCGGCGGCGGGGTTGAGTGTTAGGACTAGGGATGAGAGGACGATGGGGGTGTTGGAGGCGAGGGGGGAGGGGGTGCAGCCGGGGGAGTAGGGGGGGTTGATATACGAACGGGCTGCGTGGGATTGAAGCTGTGGTAGGTAGTTGCATACAATATCATTTGAGTCGGTCTCGGTCAGCGTCAGTTTATTCAAGCTCGATTACATCCCGCCCACGCATTTCAATCAACTGGCCACCACCACCACCACCACCACCACCACCACCACCACCAACCTAGCAAAAAAGAAAAAGCGCACCATCGCCATCTCATGGACGTCGCTGAGGAGCAAAAAAGGAAACATCAGGGTCTTGCCGCGACTCGAACGCGGGGCCTCTCGCACACAATTGCTTTAGGGTGGACCCTAAGCGAGAATCATACCACTAGACCACAAGACCTGGTATTTGATGGAGGCTGGCGGGACCCGGCGGTTGATGGGCGGGGATGGGTGTGGTGTGGGAAATATAAAAAAAATAGAGTTGCGGTGGAGTTAGGGCTAGGAGTCAGGGGGGAAGATTCAGGGGCTCGGCATGAGTCGTGTCGGTGCGGTGGGTGGGACCTCGGGATTCGGGAACCGTGGAACTTCGGAAGCGGGTGCTTCGGGGAAAATAAAAAAGAAAAAAGAAAAAGAAAAAACGAAACATGGGGTCCTGCCGCGATTCGAACGCGGGGCCTCTCGCAGGCAAGTGTTTGAGTTGTGATGAACCCAAAGCGAGAATCATACCACTAGACCACAGGACCGTGCTGTTGTTGGAGTCCTCGGCCATTTTGTGCTTCATATTGCTATGGGCTAGAATCAGGCAAAAACACAACTCCTAGTTCCCATCCACGCGGATATCAGGCCCAGCTCGGTTCTTTCCATGGCTATTAACTTAATCCTGGTACTTTCATTAATGGTGGAAAATCGCCCTGCGCCTTTTTCTACTCACTTCTACATACTTCCGGCCCGCCCATCAGTTTTCATGGAAGCACCACCCAATGGACAGACCCTGTAGATCTATGCATCCTTATATTTTCTGTGTCCTAGGGATTCATGGCTTTTTCTATCATTCCGGTGGTATTAATCCACAGACCAAGATTACCCATCGCTACGTCGTCGCTGGTATGCTGCATTTAAATGGGACTGATACCTATTTATTTGCCTGGCCTCTTGTCAAGGTTGTATCTCCTCGACTGACAGTTATTTTAGCGTCCCTCCCTATTTGTTGTCTAGAGCCATAATACCATGGCAAACATTGCTGTACGACGATTATATTTACCTTCTTGGAAGATACTATGTAGCCAGACTTGCTGGTTTCTACTACTGTTGCTGCAGGCTAATCTACTTCTTGCCATGATGTGTGCTCTGCTGATTTTGATCCTGTATAGGTATAGTATTTTTGATAACAAGGCAGCTAATATGTGCGCAATGTACTCGGTTTTATATCATGTTGTATTTGCACTCTGCCTGTTGATGAGTTTTATTGTTGTGCTGTTGGAATTTTCATAGTTCCTGTAGAAGCCGGAAATATATATTCCAACCAAACTAACCTTTAAAGATGCTCAGTGGGAATGAAATCTTACTTGCGCAGAGATGTTCTGTTCCTAAGGACTATACTAAGAAAAATAAAAAAAGAATACAGTCATTAAACAGGCTGTGAACCCCATATCTGTAGCTGCTATTGCTGCTTGCATGAAGCGGGGTGGGTCTAACCTAACGCAGCGTAATATTACGGAAATATACCTGTTGGCATTTAGTTCTGCGGGGCAATCTGTCCCCCATCAAATCAGGTCTTGTGGTCTAGTGGTATGATTCTCGCTTAGGGTTCACCCTAAAGCATTGTTTGCGAGAGGCCCCGCGTTCGAGTCGCGGCAAGACCCTGAGAAGAATTTCTTTTTTTTTTCTTTTTTCTTTTTTCTGCGACAAGCAAGGGATACGGTGTCTATCATAGGACATTAATCAGGGCCCGGGAGAATTTTACTTTATTCCTTCCATCCCACTTCTTCGTACTATAACCGAAATCTCATCCCCTTTTCCCCCATTCCCTGGGAGCGTGTCGGATAGATTCATCCGCAGCAATAGGGAGCACTATCCATGGATAGAATAAGGATACAGGGGTAACATCTGCTACTTTTCCTCTTGAACGACATGGTCAAAAAACCGACTTCAACCTCCAGAGCAACCGCGCCGTCTCCAACTCATCCATGTAGCTCTTGTCAAATGCGAGAGAGAACTCCTCAGCAATCCGTGTGTCGCTCTTACATCCCCACACAGTTGCCCTCCTTCGAGAAAAAGGTTTAACATGTGTAGATGGGAGTGAGTGAAGTAACCATCATGCTCTTTTATGTGATGTCTTTGAGACCTTCAGTAAGGTCGTCCAGAAAATCTTCCTTGGGGGTATAGGGACGTTTCCCTTGGTCATCAGTGCGATGGTCTGTCACTGGGCCACCCAAAGTATTACATATAAGATGATGCTGATGGTGGTTCTGTATCTGGCAATATTGGGTGATACATTTACCTACATTGATTGCAAGTTGCCAGTGCTCTTCATATGTTGCGAAAAGAATACTTTATTACCAGGTACACCAGGGGGTTTCTCCTCATGACCAAGGCCCTTCTTTGCCTTTCTGTCTAGAGTGAAATTTATCAAACGCACTGCTGTTATCGATGTATGTTTCTCAATGAGATGGAGAGCACTGGCCTTGTTTTCTGAGACTCTGCTGCCGTTCTTGAGGCAGAGACCAAAGGGGAGAAACTTGACGAGGGGATGTTGTTGTGGAGCCCAGTAGTCCAACGCTTTGAGGAGTCGGTAGAGGGCCAAGTGGAATGAGTTTGGAAGCATCATAAAGAATGACCATAGAAAATATATTCCAAACTTTCCAAGAGTTTGAACTGGATAGAGTTATTTAGCCAAAATTTGATAAATTTGATATGCCAGGGAAAAAGTGGATTTCATAAAACTATCCCTTTCAGAACTGGTCCCTATCCCTCGAGGACTTGATTCTCAATAGCAAGTTTGTGCAAAGCATCCGAAACAGCAGAATGGATACGGAGTAAAAACTGCTCGGGAAGTGGAAAGCGATCTCTGTCTGGGGTTTATGGCAAGGTATAAAACTGTTCACTAGCTCCGGGAAAAAACTCAGGTATTCTTTTACAAATACTCCACTGTAAATACCGGATTTAGCCATTCATTCTGTTAATGCTTGTAGGGATCTCACTAACAATTTGTCTGTCATATCCCTCATATTCAAACTTATTCATGAAGAGATGCCCACCTCAAAAGGCAGATCTCACTGTTGAGGACATAAGCCATAGGTTCTTGAGGTGGTTTTCATTCCCACTGTTGTAGGCTTGCAGAAACGAAAACAGCTTTCCAGCCAACTTGGGAGATGTAAGCACCACAAGGAGAGGTCGTGATCGTCCCTAATATGAAGTGTGGGCATAGTTTAATGCCGAGAAGACAGAAACGTACTTTGGGGTGCAGTTCCTCATCTGTGACAATCGACGGAGGAACTATGAAAGTAGCCTGGAGTCTACTATCACTGCCAGAGACGCAGCACCGATTACTCTCCCGCTCACGAAGCGCAGCATCGACATCTGGAGAAACGCAATTATCATGGGTAACTATAAATCCGTTAGGGAGCACGCGTTAATAGGAAAGTTTCAAAACACACCTTCAGCTAATGGCCACCAGTTCATCCTTTACAGACCTCAGCATCTGCTCCGCTGTCTCCTCGTGCCGCTCTGACAATTGCTTCAGAATAAAGCGCGCGGCCCTGGATGTTTGGAGGGCGTGGTCCAGGAACAACGCTGGCTGGAGATGCTCAACGCTGACAGCTGGGCAGACTCTATGGCAGCCTCGTCCTCGCTTTCGGAGGATATTTGGCTCATTGTCGGCCTGGAGATGGTGAAATTGACAGATTGACGTTTATTTGATTTGAGGCTGCCGGATATATCTAGTTCAGCTCTTCGTTAACTAAAGATCCCTGTTAGCGTCGAGCAAGGAAGACGAAGGAACTGTCTATTTTTTGTCTATTTATTAACTGGCTTGCCATCAAGATTCAACCACCCCACCTCCATGAGATAATTACCAGTACAGTTCCGAATCCCATTTCCTTGTCATCTCGTTCTCCTCCGTGCATCCCGCAGACTCACCGCCATGGACGGCCCATCCAAGGGCACCAACCCGATGCGTAGAGTCCACAAACACCCGCGTGTCCCGCTCTCCTGTAATCCGTGTCGTTCAAGAAAGTGAGCAATAATTCTGAGATCGAAAACTCCTCGAATCCCATGTATGGAAACTAACAATAGTCCTGAGAAAGACTGAAATGTAACCGCCAGCAGCCATGCCACAACTGCATTGCAAGGGGCCATCAGGACCTCTGCATATTTGCCAGTGGCAAAGCCCCAAAAAGCACTGGCCAGCAGACCGCGGGGATGGAGTACCGTTTGAACCGTCTCGAAAAGCTTGTTACCACACTTACTTCTGGCCCCGAAGATCCGCAGCAGCCTTCTATCGACTCTGTTGGCCATGCTCTGGCAACATCGCGGGTTGATGATCCGGGACAGGATTCCACAATCAAAGAACCGGGAACTATGACGGTCAAGCACGATGAATCCCTCTATAGGGGGAGTACCCACTGGAATGATGTGCTCCAAGAGGTAAGTATATACATACACCGCTCCAGTGGGGCCGTAGCTGGACGTCGCTGAATGAGATTTTAGCTCACTGAACTCAAAAGCACCTGGAATCAATTCAAAGTGGACATTGAGGTGGAAAGTCTGGACAACGCGTTCAGCCAGGGTTTCTCGACCCACGGGCCTACCATAACGGCCGGAGTTCCCAGTCTTTTAGACAAGGCAGAGCTGCTCGATTCCGTGCCTTCGAAACCTGCAGCGGATAAACTTATATCCAAATTTTTCGACCCCAATGATCCTTCTGCCCCTACTATATGTAAGCGATCACTATTGTTAATTGGGGAAGATGACCTCTACTAATATATTCTCATAGTGGCCATACATGGGCCCACGTTCATGAAACAGGTGCCTCACCCCTTTGATACTTATCTACCTGTACACATACTAAGCCAACTATTTAGTACGAAGAACATTGGAAAGATCCGTCCAAAACCAAAGTTGCGTGGCTTGGTCTTTTATTTTCCATCCTTTGGCTAACGCTTCAATGCGAGCTCGAAAATGAGGAGAACGCAGCAAAGTACATGGGCATGGGGCCTGTGCTGGCTGAAATGTACAGGATGCGGACAGCCCAATGCCTTATGCATGTGGATGTAACAAAAAGCGCTCCTCACCTTCTTGAAACAATGTGCCTCCAAGGCTTTGCGGAATATATCCGGAAAAAGGATGCCGAATCGAATACATGGGTGGTCCTCGGCATGATTATGCGCACAGGAATGCGCATGGGAATTCATAGGGACCCGTCTAACTACCCCGGACTATTTTCGCCTTTTCAGACTCAGATGCGCCGACGCCTGTGGGCGTTCATCTCTCAGGTCGACTTGCTCTTCTCGTTTCATATCGGCCTACCAAGCATGATTTCTTCGACGAGCACGGACACAGAATTGCCTGCAAACCTCTATGACTGGGAATTGAATGAGGATATGACCGAAACCCCCCCTTCACGGCCCGTAACTGAGATTACTGAGATCACCCATATGGTGCAGAAGACAAGAATACTTCGGGCCATTGGGAAAGTGAGCGAGTACCTATACGATATACGGCAGGCTCCGTATGAGCGTGTTCT